CCTACGCATCAAAACCACAACGATAGTTCGTCAAGTTGGAGAAACTGACACCCGCCAGCCACCTGTGTGCAAAAGCACGTCGGTAGAACCAGTCTCGCGTAAGCGTACGCGTAATGTCGGTCCGGGCTGCTTCATCCAACAATACCGCCGAACCAAAGTATGACATGCTGGTAAGCACTATGACTTATATCGCCCACAACTCACTTGTGTTCTACTCGTGCATATGACATCTACGCATAAAACCTGGCTCAAATGCCACTGTTGGGGAACGTAGTAATTTCAAAAAATTCCTACGCACACGCAGGATCACGGTGATGCATAGCAATGAGAGGGGAGAGTGTTGTCTACGTACCCTCGTAGACCGTTCGCGGAAGCGTTATATCAACGCGGTTTATGTAGTCGTACGTCTTCACGATCCGACCGATCCAAGTACCGAAAGCACGGCACCTCCGAGTTCTGCACACGTTTGGCTCGGTGACATCCTCGCCTTCTCGATCCAGCAATAGGGGCGAAGTAGTAGATGAGTTCCGGCAGCACGACGGCGTGGTGACGGTGTTGGTGAAGAACAATCTCCACAGGGCTTCGCCTAAGCACTATGAAAACTATGACGGAGGATAAGTTAGAGGGGACAAGGTTGTCGGCACACGGCTTGGTGTTTCTTGATGTGTCTTTGGTGCTAGCCCTGCCCCTCTATTTATATGTTGAGCCCTGGGGTCGAAACTTGGAGCAAAAGCCTCTTCAAAGTCGGTTTTGCCTGAAAGGCAAGAGTCCCACTCGGACTCCAGGACCAAATGCCACAATCCTTGGCGTCTGGCCCAGACGCCATGGGCCTCGGCGTCTGGCCCAGGGTCAGACGCCAGGGTCTCCGGCGTTTGGCCCCCTGGCCTCCACAAAACTCCTTTTGCACCGACTTATAGCCCCGTGGGCTTGACACCTTGGCCTAACCATATCATCCAATATATGAATCTTTACCTCCGGACCATTCCGGAGCTCCTCGTCATGTCCGTGATCTCATCCGGGACTCCGAACAACATTAGGTTACCAACATACATAACTCATAAATACTATATCGTCAACGAACGTTAAGCGTGCGGACCCTACGGGTTCGAGAACTATGTAGACATGACCGAGACACCTTTCTGGTCAATAACCAATAGCGGGACCTGGATGCCCCTATTGGATCCTACATATTCTACGAAGATCTTTATCGGTCAGACCGCATAACAACATACGTTGTTCCCTTTGTCATCGGTATGTTACTTGCCCGAGATTCGATCGTCGGTATCTCAATACCTAGTTCAATCTCGTTATCGGCAAGTCTCTTTACTCGTTCCGTAATACATCATCCCGCAACTAACTCATTAGTTGCAATGCTTGCAAGGCTTAAGTGATGTGCATTACCGAGAGGGCCCAGAGATACCTCTTCGACAATCGGAGTGACAAATCCTAATCTCAAAATACGCCAACCCAACAAGTACCTTTGGAGACACCTGTAGAGCACCTTTATAATCACCCAGTTATGTTGTGACGTTTGGTAGCACACAAAGTGTTCCTCCGGTAAACGGGAGTTGCATAATCTCATAGTCATAGGAACATGTATAAGTCATGAAGAAAGCAATAGCAATAAACTAAACGATCAAGTGCTATGCTAACGGAATGGGTCAAGTCAATCACATCATTCTCTAATGATGTGACCCCGTTAATCAAATGATAACTCATGTCTATGGCTAGGAAACTTAACCATCTTTGATTCAACGAGTTAGTCAAGTAGAGGCATACTAGTGACACTCTGTTTGTCTATGTATTCACACATCTATTATGTTTCTGGTTAATACAATTCTAGCATGAATAATAAACATTTATCATGAAATAAGGAAATAAATAATAACTTTATTATTGCCTCTAGGACATATTTCCTTCAGGTGGCGACGGAGATAGTGAAGGCGACGGTGTGGGCGTGAGGCCGCGCACCTGGGGAGAAGCCACTCCGCGCTCTCGACGTGGCCGCTGTGGCCCCAACGAGGTGCCGGCGAAGAAGAAGGCGCGCGCGCATGTCGTGCTCATCCCTTAACCACGTGTCCCAGAGCCCGGAGTCGGGGCGTACCTGGGGTCGTAGAAGATGTCGTCGGGGATGAGGCGGCGACGCTCGATCTCCTGGCGGCGGGTACATCCGCTCGTCGGGACCGGTGGGACCGGCACCCGGTCGGCGGAGAGGTGCCAGTTATTGGGGAGGTGCAAGTCGCTCCACGGAAGCGGCGTCCTCGTCTCCCAATAACACCGACATATATCCGTGCTGATGTACTGCCGGCCGCGCTCGTCGCCGGTCGTAGGGCCGATGGTGAATGGGGCAGGCGCGGGGGCCCGACACGGTGGTGATGCAGGCTCCTCTTTCACGGAACCGCGGCGGTGGCCCGAGGACGAGCCAACATCGCGGTCGTGCTTCCCATTGCGGCCGGAGTTCCAGAACCTCATGGCTGCGAGGCGGCTGGCCGGCAAGATCGATAACAGGGAGAGGGAGAGCTAGGGTTTGGGGCGTGTCGGGTTTTGAGGGGGCAGAGAGGGCTGGAGTGGGGAGTGTAGACGACGACCGGTCCACGGCTTCCCATTTAAGAAGGACGGCGACCGTTCGCTGGGCGGATGACAGGTGGGGCTGGCCGCGCGTGCGCTTTGATGTTGGCAGGTGGGAGGTAGGTGGGCGCCTGCCACGCGGCTCCGACTTGGACAAGCGACGCGTCCGTTTGCTATCCACCGCGACTTAAACCCGACGCATGTTTGCATTCGAAATAGATCGGCCCGAACACAAAACAACTCAGATGAGCTCAGACCATCGTGCGTTGGGCCATGGGGTCTGTCTGTTTTGCCCTAAACAGACGGGTCCGGAGGGGAAGGGGCCGCGCGAGTTGGCCTTAGAGCATCTCCAACAGGCGTGGCAAAAGGCGCGCCCGCGCCGTAAAGTTTGGTTTTAGCACGCGCCGGCTGGTTCCGCGCGCTCCAGCGGTGGCGGGAACTTACCGCGCGAGGGAAGCGTTTGCGCGCGCGCGGAAGAAAGCGGCACGCGGGGCGGTAGATTTGGCGCGCCGCTTCGCGCGCGCCTATAAAATCCCGCGTTCGCCATGCGCACAGAACACTTCCACGCGCCCTCCCCTCGCAACCTCACCGCTTCGCCACCTCGCCGCTTCGCCGCTTTCTGCGCCACCAAGCCACCGCGCCGCCGGGGTTCTTCGGGCTACCGCGGCGTCCGCAAGCGTCCCAACGGTTGGTACTCCACCGAGATCTGGTCCGGCGACGTCCGGCTCGGTCTCGGGTCGTTCCGGAGCACGCACGAGGCGGCCCGCGCGTACGACGCGACGGCGTGGCGCTTGGAGAGGCCCCGGTCGCAGATGAACTTCCGGGACGTCTTCACGGCGAGGAGGCGCAGCGCGTCGCCCCTCCGCCGCGTCTCATCACCGACATGGACCGTGCCGACCACGCTCGGCGGCTGCGCCGCCTCGTCATCGCCGAGGAGGACAAGCGTGCCTACTGGGCGGAGATGAGGCAAGGCGCCGCGCGAAGCGGGCGGACCGGCGTCGGCGGAAGGCATTGGCGAATGCGTAGTCCGATATCGTTGCAGCAGGTGGGAGGTCGATCTTCATGGCAGACGATGAACGTTGCTTCGACATGTGGCTCGATACCTCGGACGACACCGACGAGGATGATGATGGTGATGATGGTAGCGACTTGGAGTAGTTTCTATCTATGTATGCCGTGGTAGTTTCTATCTAGTTGCACCGTAGTTTTATCTATCTATGCTTTCAAACTAAATATCTAGTTGCACCGATGTAAAATACCTTTGCATCATTTTTTATTTATGCAATCTATCATTTTTTATCTATGCTTCCGATGTAAAAATGTTATAGAATGAGCGCGCGCTGCTGGAGCGGCGCGCGCTGCATTTTAACGCGGCTACTGGAGCCAGTGCTGCGCGCTGCGCTAAACCAGACGATGGATGCGCGACAAAGCAGTTTTTAGCGCGCGGCGCGTTGGGCGCCTGTTGGAGATGCTCTTAGGCTGCTTGTAATGGGTAGTATCATACCTTAGTATCGTGCACATGATACTAAGGTATGATACTACCTCTGTAATGCACAGTATCATATACTAGTACTGTAGGTAGCCTTATTTATTGCCATGCATGACACATATTAGCATAGTATTTAATATGATACGGTATCATAATATGATACTCAACGCTCTTTTTTTCATTTAATTTTATGCCACCTCAGCAAAATAGTCTAGTTGACATGCATGATACTAGCTATGATACTATCATTACGACCAGCCTTAGCAGCCAGGTAACTTCTCCGACTCAGTGATACTCAGGGGGTGTTTAGTTTCAGGGACTTTTTTGTGTTGGGACTATAAAAAGTCCCTAGTAAATCAAACAGGATGTGATTTTTTTAAGACTTTTTGCTAAAAGTCCTTATAAGCACCTCTTTTAGAGTTTTTTTTAAAAAATCCTACAAACTAAAAAGGCATAGGACTAGAGAACCAAACACCATCTCAACCGACTGAGCCAAGCGTGGTCTTCCAGGCCGTTGCCCGCCCCCCGCCCGCAGCCTGTCATGTCCCGTTCACACGCGGCACCGTTTGCTCCTCCTACTGACCGCGCGGCCCCATCTTTGCCCTTTGGGTCCCACACCCGTGGAGGGCACCGAGCTTCCACTGCTCCTCCTGGCTGTTCAGCGGTCCATGTGTAAGTCCGATGCGGCCATACTACCACACGGCGCCACATCCCACTGACGCCAATGGCCCACCGGGAGGAAGCGAGCGGACGGCTGACGCATGTCCGCCACGTGTCCGTGCTACCTACGTGACGTCCTGTGGCGTGGAGACGTGGCGGCCGGGCACGGGCCAGGGCAAGGTGTGTACTTGAGCAGGGCACCGGCCGCCGCCCTTCCCTTCGCCTTGGCATCAACTCCCACCCCGTGTCTGCTGCAGATGCCCAGATTGTCCCGGTTGCTCCCATGTCTGATCGTAGCGGCCAGCGGCAATGCCGCCGAGGCGTCTCGGGCGACGTCGAGCTCGACGCGGCCATGGCACTGGCCAACATGGCCGGCGTTTCGGGGCCAGCAGCTCTTCCCGCCGCGCACCCGGCGGCGCCGCAGCATGGCGCCAGCCGCGAGGAGGAGGAGGAGCTGGCGAGCACGAGGCTGAGCCTGGAGCTGGGCAAGGTCGGCATCCAGGCGTCGTCGTGCTCCAGCAGCTCCAGCGCCGGGTGTCCCTCGCAGCAGGCGCGGGTGGCCGCGGCGGCTCCAGGTGGAGGCGGCTACGGCCCAAGGCCCCGGCATACGCTCACCGAGGTAACTCAGCGGCTATGTCGCGTGGATGCAAACCTGTGCCGGCTCTCACTTGACCCCTAGTTTCTTGTGCGGATCCAACAGGCTGAGAAGGAGGCAAAGCGGCTGCGGCGCGTGCTCGCGAACCGGGAGTCTGCGCGCCAAACCATACTCCGCCGTCAGGTTATAATATCTTGGCTTTCACAGCGTTGGTATAAAACCATCTCTCTGTATACAATTCATGCGAGCTACTCCAGCTTTATATAGTGTTGTCTTAATTTAGGCGATCCGAGACGAACTGGCGAGGAAAGTTGCGGACTTGTCGTCACAAAACGAGAGCATGAAGAAGGTAATACCGATAGGTTTATGTAGCAGCAAGAATGGCAATTAGCAGGAACAAACTTTAGGCTTAACCTATGTTAATTCTCCCTTTGTTTGCGCAGGAGAAGGAGACGGCGATGCAAGAGTATCTCACACTCCAGGAGACGAACAAGCAGCTGAAAGAACAGGCACGACATCATCTGCCGCTTCCATTATTTTAGTGATCTTTATTAGTAGGAGTAATTACTAGAGTCAGGGCAGAGAGAATCTAGCATGTTCGGAGCCTCCAGTTGTTCCCCTGAAAGCGAGCCACATGACTGCACTTTACTACTGTAGTACCCCAGTTCAGTAGTAGTCGCTAGGTAGGCCATCAAGCAGTCATCGGAAATACTAGTACAAGTCATAGTCGAATTGGAACCCAAGTACCGAGCTGGAGTACGTAGTTCTTGATGCCATATGTATGGATAAAACGACATCCGTGTTTTCTATATTTGGCTTTCTGCCAAGATTGCTTTCTTCTTTAATTTGTGGCCCAAAGTTGCCGCACACGCTTCTGCTGTTCTACCGCTCATGCCGACAAGAGACGTAGGAGTAGCTAGGTAGGTTGCCCTGCTTGTTGAGACGAGCTTTTTGCTGGCTTGTCCAGGTCTTTGGAGCTTTACCAATGGCGTTTTTGAATCGTCCTTCTGTGTGAAACCAGAACCAAACACCTGGAGCGAAAGCTTGCTGTGATCCTGACTATCGTGAATGCTTTTCTCCATCTACAGGTTATTGCGAAGACGGCAGAGAAGGCGCCGCCGCCGGTGGTAACGTCCATGGACACGACGCCACCAGCGGAGCAGCGGGCAGAAGCCACGCTGTCCACGGCGGCCCCGCTGGACGCACCCCCTGGGCCGGGCTTCCTTTACGCAACAGCTGGGCCCCCAGCCGTGCCGGTGCCGTATGTCTGGGGCTCTTGGCCGGGGTACAATCCGAACGCCAGCAACCCGGGCGGCGCCATCAGCACTGGACATGCCCCGCCGCTCTGCTTTCCGCCCTGCGCGTGGTACTACCCCGTCGTCACCGACCCACATGGTTCGCCGGCGGCATCTTACGCGCAGCCGCTCCATGAGACAACGAGCGGGGGCGCCAGCCAGGGTACCTGCGGCGGAACGGCCGATGAGGACACCGACGACGACCCGTGCTCGCTCACGCTGGGGCTTGACGTCGACAGGAAGTGTGCGACGAGCGCCGAGAGCGGCGGCAGCCGTGCTGTGGCGGGAGACAGAGAGAGGGCGGTGATGGCAGCGGAGGCGAGAAAGAGGAGGAAGGAGCTGACGAAGATGAAGCAGACGCATCTCGGCGGCCGTCCTGGAGACGAGTAGGTCTCTGCGCCATTGACGGGGGGTGAGTGGGTGACACTTGTTGTTTTTTTAACTTTCTAGCTGGTCGTTTCATTTTGGTTGTTATACGTTGTTATATCTGGTTTTGTTTAGCCTTTTGCTCGTCCAAATGATTTCAGTTTTCAAATTATTTTGTGGTGCAATCTGTATACAAAAGATTAGTAGGTTTGATGACGTGCAACAAGAGTCATGTACTCCCTCCGGTTTTTTCTTCATATATGTATATATAAGACCATACATAAGATTTGTCTGATGTCAAACTTCCTATTTACCTCGCAAAAGAAACTTCACAAAGTTTGACATATTTGTATGAAAAATATTGAATCTACCCTAATAAATTATATAATATAAAATTAAATTCATAACGCATCTAATAATATTCATTTCATATTGTGAATGTTGATATTTTCATACAAATATGATCAAACTTCATGAAGTTTGAACGAAGTTTTATTTTAGCCAAATTTTATGTGCAGAATAAAATTGATCAAAGAGAGTACTAATAATGTTTAATGTAGCAATTGTACGATGCATTTTTTGAAGAAAATACTTAAACATAGTAAATCTTTTTAGGAGAACCTAGCTAGTATCTGCCCCAAGCTTTGTAGTATAAGATTTCCCTGAGTTATTGTGCGAAGGATGTTCAATCTTTTCACTAATAGAAAACCGGGTTTTGATTGAGGCCCGAGTAAGGTCATTAATCTCGATTCACTCACGAACCGGGACCAAAGCGTAACGCATGGATAATTATGCAACAGTAATCATGCTAATGGTGCTATGTCATCGATTTTTACTTTTTAAGCTCGGGTTGATTCGAAGTCGGTTCCAAATTCAAATTTAAAATAAAGAAAAAGAAAAATCAAAAGTAAATAAAAGAAAGGGAGAAGCCAAAAAAAGGGGAGAGGCCCCGTCCCCCACTTGGCATCGGTCCACCCCCAGGCCAGCCCAATGACCCACTCTCCCACCCCACCTGTTGTCTCGGTCGACCGTGCCGCTACAGGGGCATGGTCGCCACCGAGCCAGCTCGTCGTCGCCAGTGAGGGGATAAGGAACCCCCCTCGCCCCCTCGATTCCCTCTCTCGTTCTCATCCACTCAGCCTCCCCCTCTCTTCCTCGTCGCTCTCTCTCTCTCTTCTTAGATCCACCCGCGTCGTCGTCGCCATGGCCGAGCTCGCCCTCGCGTCCTTCGGCCTCCCCGCGGTCTAGCTGCGTGTCCGTACGCATCGCCGTTGTCGGCTACGTCGACCGCGTGGACCTCTTCGACCTCGGAGCCCCCTCTGCCTCGCCGGATCGCCATCTTCCTCCGCTTCGGTTGCCGCTGTCTTCTTCAACGCCGATGCCCACTGCAGCTCCTAAACCCACTATCGGGCCCTCGTGCGCCCTCTCGGTGAGCCGCAGCGATTCCCCACTCTCCCCTCTTTCGTCCGTCGCCATAGCCGCCACTCCCGCACTCGTCGTTGCCACGACCGAACTCCGCTCCCACTCCCGCTAGCCGCTGCTGCTGCCTGCGCCACCCTCGGCTCCCCTGCCTGTGCCCTGGCTGGGCCTCGTGCGCGCGCGCCTATGCCCGCGGGTCTGCTGCCGCGTCGCTGCGAGTTGCTTTACTGCTACGGGCCTGTTGCTCGCCTGCTGATGTCTCAAAGTGCAGAGGTTTGTAGGACAGTAGCAAATTTTCCTCAAGTGGATGACCTAAAATATATCAGTCCATGGGAGGCGTAAGTTGAAGATGGTCTCTCTCAAACAATCCTGCAACCAAATAACAGAGTCTTTTGTGTCCCCAACACACCCAGTACAATGGTAAATTGTATAGGTGCACTAATTCGGCAAAGAGATGGTGATACAAGTACAATATTGATGCTAGATATAGGTTTTTGTAATCTGAAAATATAAAAATAACAAGGTAGCAAGTGGTAAAAGTGAGCGTAAACGGTATTGCAATGCTAGGAAACAAGGCCTAGGGTTCATACTTTCACTAGTGCAAATTCTCTCAACAATAATAACATAATTGGATCATATAACTATCCCTCAACATGCAACAAAGAGTCACTTCAAAGTCACTAATAACGGGGAACAAACGAAGAGATTACTGTAGGGTACGAAACCATCTCAAAGTTATCCTTTCTGATCGATTTATTCAAGAGTCCGTAGTAAAATAACATGAAGCTATTCTTTACGTTCAATCTATCCTAGAGTTCGTACTAGAATAACACCTTAAGACGCAAATCAACCAAAACCCTAATGTCACCTAGATACTCCAATGTCACCTCAAGTATCCGTGGGTATGATTATACGATATGCATCACACAATCTCAGATTTATCTATTCAACTAACATGTAAGTGCATCTAGTGCCCCTTAGTGATTTTGGTGTATTGAAGACTTATAGGTTAAGGGACTAATGTGTTTTTGAGTGTACACAGGTCTATAAGTCTATGAGGAGTTTGATATTTACAGAAAAAGTCGACCCCTAAAAATGAAGTTCTTCGACTGAAGACTTTGGATTTCTGAAGACTTTGAAAGTGAAGAAATTGGTGCAATCCTGAAGACTTGATATTCATTCGAGGAACATGAAGCATGAAGACTTTTGTTTTCGTAGTTTCATTTTCTCTTTCTTGAGTCATAGGAAACACCGTACTGTTAAAGGGAGTCGAGGAAATACTAAGGAAAAATTTCCATGTGATTCTCAACTCAAAATCCTACACCTACCAATCCCTTCGAGTGAAGCCATTGGAAATCTCATACAGTTCACTCATATTCTTCAATGATAGAGACGAAGTTCTTCTGGTCTCTGAGGAATTTATTCTGACTGAGGAGTTAGGAATTCGCTAGTGCGGATTGCCTACACAGTGAGTAACATGATAGCCCTGAGGAATTTGATACTCAAATTTTCAACCGTTGTTGTGCCATGCACCAGCTGTCCCAAACTATCTACACACCTAACGATCATATCATTGAAGGGCATTTATGTCTTATCATGTCGGGTTGCTCCGTAGACTATAAATAGCCGCCCCCTCCAACCAATAGCTAGTTGGCTGCTCCGAGAGAAACTGACACTTGTCATTTGAGAGCATCCCATCCTCCGAGGACTTTGAGCGAAAATCATCAAGTGAGGAAAACCCAAACCCAAACACTTACAAACCCCAAGTGATTGAGCATCACTGAAGATATTGATCCTGTGTGGATCCGACGCTTGTTATCTTTGAAGATTGTGCTTCTTCCTGACGGTTAGGCGTCAAGGTCTAGAGCATCCAAGATGAATTGTGGATCGCCGAGTGACCAAGTTTGTGAAGGTTCAAAAGTCACCTAAAGACTTACCACGAGTGATTGGGCGAGGTCTGTGTGACCTTAGATCAAGGAGAATACGGTGAGGACTGTGTGTCCGGGACTGTGTGTTCTCAGGTTTAAATACCTAGCCGCTCCAACCAGATGTACAACTGAGACAGCAGTTGGAACTGGTCTACCAAATCATTGTCTTCACCAAGCTCACTGGTTCTATTTCCTCAACTCTTTCATTTCCTCATAACTGTGTTGAGTGCTTGCTCGTATGTATGTTTGAAGACTTTGACTGAAGACTTTCTCAATTTCCTCAGTTCAATTTCTTCAGTGTGTTTGTCTTCATCTTGTGTTATCCTGTGTTTACGCTTTCTGTACTCTGTGCTTGTCTTCATTTCATCATGATGACTATGCTTGTGTTCTGTTATGTTTACTTTTGAGTACTTATTCTACTGCTAGTAGTTCTCCGCTAAGGAATTTCCTCACCTGCAAATTCCTCAGTGAAGAATTCATAAAAATCGCCTATTCACCCCCCTCTAATCTATATAACGCACTTTCAATTGGTATCAGAGCAAGATACTCCCTTGTTCTGTGTAATTTTGGTTTAACCTCCTGGAGTTTTAGTTATGTCGACCGCAGGTATGATCAAGGTCTCTGCTGGAAGAATAAGATGCGAATGCATCTTGAGGCAATTGATAACGATCTCTGGTATGTTGTGAAAAATGGTGTTCCCTCAGTCACACCTTCTCTAAATGCTGCTGATGTGAAGAGATTCAAGCAACTCGACTCTCAAGCGAAGAATATCATATGTGGCCATCTGAGCAAAGGACAGTATGGAAGAGTGAGTACATTGGAAACTGCTAAACTTATCTGAGATAGGCTGTCCAAGGTCAATGAAGGAGTCTCAACCCAGCGTGACTCTCGAGTTAATGTTCTTCGCAACCTCTTCAACCGCTTCAAAAGACTCGACAATGAAAATGTTCACCAAACCTTCGATCGCCTCACTGACATCTCAAATGAGCTTCAAGCACTTGATGCCACTGACATCATCGACCATGAGGTGGTGAAGAAATTGCTGAGATCGCTTGATTCCTCATTTGATACTCTAGCATTGATGATACAAGAACGTGCTGATTACAAGTCACTTGATCCTGCTGATATCCTCGAAAGGCTAAATACTCATGAGTTCCAGCTTGCTGAGAAGAGAGATCTCTATGGTTCGAGCTATGGCAGATCACGTGCCCTGAAGGCCAAGGCAGCGTCTGAATCTAAAGATGAAGATTCTGCTAGCAGCCTTGGTGATCCTGAAGAACTGAGCCATGAGCTAGCACTGCTCGTGAAGAAATTCTAGAAGTTCTCAAGACGTGGTCGCTTTGGAAAATTCTCAAGGAGCAATGATTCCTCATCCAGTGACTACAAGAAGAGGCTTTGTCACAAATGCAAGAAACCCGAACACTACATTCAAGATTGTCCTCAGCGGGAAAAGAAATCAAATAAGAAGAAATACAAGAATTACAGTTCTGATGATGCGAAGAAAATGAAGAAATCCTCAAAATCCTCGAAGTCTTCATCTTACAAGAAGAGCAGCTCCAAGAAGGCTCGGGCGTTCATTGGCAAGGAAATGGACTCTGAGACTGAATCTGAGGAACATGAGGAAGAGGAGGCATCTGAGGAGTCTGAGTCTGGTGTGGCGAGCCTGGCTCTCGCTAC